ACAAAAATCACTCGCCCATAAATAAGCCTTCGCGTTCGCGTGCGCACCATGGCGAACGTGATAAAGAACACATCATACCCTACGCGAACCCGGCCTGGTCCTCGCGAACGCGTAGGCCAACTCCTCCCAGTTTCTAGCTACTTCGCGAATGTAGATCCCCACCGCAAACGCATAGAAGGCCGACTGCCCAGGTGTCACGACTCCAAATTCCCACCTTAGGATGTTGTGATGGCACCTAGTCTCTAAGACTAGGTAAGCCTAACACATGCTGAGTTATTAATAGATTTAAAACATTTAACCATTAAACATGAACCAATAATGCAATACATAGCTAACAACTATCAGTAGATATACAACATCCCAAAATCGGTAGTACGAAATCATAAGCTCTTCTAAGAGTAACTAAGAATATCAATACATTGCTGTTTGGAAAGGAAATAAATAGTAACAAAGTAAAACTCTAGAAGGTGACTCTGAGGCCTGCGAACTCAATGGCAGGTATACCTTGAAGTCTCTCACAATCAGCTAACTACTGACCGACATGCTCCGAAGTACCTGGATCTGCACAAAAGATGTGCAAAAATGTAGCATCAGTACACCACATCGGCACCCAATAAGTATCAAGACTAACCTCGGTGGGGTAGTGACGAGGTACAGTCAAGACACCTACTAGACATAAAAACCTGTGCAATAGTTGATATAAACCTAACAGAGGAAGAGTGAGTTGAGGGACGAAGGGAACCCTTAAAATTCTCTCTCTAGAATTGGTTCTCTCAAATTTCCGCCGTCACTGTAGCAGTGAACAGTGCCAAACAGTACCGTGAACAGTGACTTCGTTACTGTTCATCGCGGACAAACTGGAGCTTTAGGCTTCAATGGCCACAATGGCCGGCGACTAGCCATCTTTTTTGGCTGATCTGCCCTCCCCCAGCGTCGCACAACAACATACAATAACTAACTCCAACCCAGCTCCTCTAGATTACTCTAAGATTTTGAAACCAAATACTCTAAATCCTCCAGCGATGGCTACTGCTGCAGCTTCAGTTCAACCCATCCTATTGCGACAAGTAGTGTATTTGAATGACCAACTAGTGGTTAAATTCACAGAGGCAAAAGTAGATCGAATTAACGTGATTGAAGGCCTCCAATATGCTGTCATTGACTAGCTTTCATATGGATCTCTGGAGATTCATGAGCTTCGCCGAATAATTCCAACTCAATGTGGTATCAAAGGTGAGTGTAATATCGGATTCCTTAGAGATCGTCATGTGTTAATTAGATTAACGCTATGGAAAGACTTCCTCGATTTCACATCGAAGAGTACGTACTATATCAAAGCCAAAGATGGGTACGAATACCAATTGCGTACTCTTATCTACGATGCAAACATTTAAGGCGGGTGAAGAAACTCCAATGGCGATGGCGTGGATTTCTTTTCCTGGACTGCTACCTACCTTTTTTGTAAAAGAAACCCTGTTTTCTTTGGCTACAGCTGTGGGAAGGCCAGTGTGTCTTGACGCGGCAACTACAAACAAAACTAGGCCGAGTTATGCAAGAGTAAAAGTTCTGGTCGATTTGTTGGCCGAACTACCTAAAAAGGTGCGATTGGATATTGATGATGAAGCTTTTGGTGGTGTTCGAACAGAATGGGTGAGAATTCAGTATGACATGCTACCGAAATATTGTAAGGCGTGTAAACTACAAGGATATGATGAAATTGAATGTTGGCGTTTGCACCCCGAGCTTATTGAGAATCGAAGCAGCGAGAAAAGGAATGATCTTGCTAAGTCGAACAACTGGAATACTACTGCTGATGAACAAGGAAAAACCAAAAATCACACTACCCCTTTAATGATTCTCACGAGTGGAAAAGTAGTCGGGAACGTAGGTGAACAGTGGAAGGAAGTTCGGGATAATCGGGGAACCAACAAAAATAACAAAACCCAGGTACAAGGGCAAACTGGCAATGCAATCGTGCCAGTGAATGTTGGTGTACAACAGGTGCACACTACAAATAACTTTGCACTTGTGGAGGTCGAAGAAGACCAGACAAACAAGGTTCAAGTAAGGAATAAATTTGCAGTATTAGAGGAGGAACAAAGTGATATAAACGAGAACAACCAACTGGTTTTGGTGGAGGAAAAACCAGTCTTCAGTTCTAAAGATGGTCCTACTCCTTCTGGGATTCAGTCCACTATCGACTGGGTTCATAGAAGGTTTGTGACTAGCAAAGAGGAGCCAAAACTACTCAATGTGACCACAAACCAATTTTGTCATGAGATTCCATCTAAAACATTTAATGATTCTAGGCAGATTGAGGATCTTGATGAGGTAAACTCTACAAAGGTCTTATGGAGTGATGCAGTTGAGGTTAAGGATGATCAGCTGGGCAAAACAAAGGCAACAGAAGACAAGGTGAAGAAGGACAACAAGCGAAGCTCAACTGGCATTAGGCTGGCAACGCCAGGCCTAAAGCCAGGCTCACCAGGCGTTAGGCTGGCGATGTCAGGCCTAAAGCCAGGCTCCCCAGGCATTAGGCTAGCAACGCCAGGCCTAAAGCCAGGTTCACCTGATGAGGCAGCTATAGTAAACCCCAACCTTAGTGCAACTGGAGAAATTTTGGCCTATGTAGATGGTGTTCCGGTGTATGCATCAGAGAACAAACTTGATGGAGATATTGATGTGAAGATTAGGGATGATATATTGGGTTCAGACCAAATATCAGGTAATGGGAAAGGTAGTGATCTCACTAGAACAGTGCATTCAGAGTAGACTGCTACAGTAACGCCTGGGCTAGGCAGTGTCCATGAGCTACAATTCAAGGAGTATAAACATGCTGATGAGCGGGCAATTGTTCCAAGAGTATCTGGGGAAATAAAGGAAGTGCCTATGGAATTTGGCACTGATAAAATTATGCAGCTACATATTAACGTTCCACTTAAGACTCCTCTACAACATTTACATGATTTAGTTACACATAATGTGACACCAATTGATGAAGACTTATTGAGACAAAATCCAATGGAGGATGAAGGAGATAATGAATCAACCGCAAAAAACATCAAACAAGTGGATAGGGAAGGGGATTTATCACCCACAGCTAGTGCTAAAGGAGGTAAGAAAACTAAGAAGAATCAGAGTAAAGATCCACCACAACCTTCAAGAATAATGCCTAGGAGGGCAGCTTCTCTATCTAAATGATGATGATCAAAACTTTAATATGGAACATAAGGTTTGTGAATACACAACAGGCCTTTCCTAGGGTGATCAACATGAATATGAAGTATAATTTTTGTGTAGTTTCATTGATGGAGCCTTTTCAAAAGAAGGGACTCATTGATAGATATAGAAGGAGGTTGAATATGGAGACTTCTTATGCAAATTTTAATGGGCCAATATAGTTGTTCTTCGATGCAGTGGTGAAATGGGAATTAGTGGAGGATACTGAGCAATAGGTGACTGTGAGAGTGTTTCACCATGACCTGGGGCAGCACATGATGATGACATTTGTTTATGCAAAATGTTCAGCAATGGAGATGTTGGAATTATGGGATCACTTGTATTACTTAGCAAGTGATATGGAATTACCATGGTTGGTAGGAGGGGATTTCAATGTAGTATTGCATGAAGATGAGAAAAAAGGGGGACTTCCAGTACACCCTCCTGGATATGAGGATTTTGCATTTTGTGTAAACTTCTGTGGTTTGTTTGAGCAAGGGTACAAAGGAAGTCCATTTACATGGTGGAATGGGAGATCCAATGCTGAGTGTATATTCAAGAGATTGGATAGGATTTTTGTGAATTTGCCATTTCAGAACATGTTGCTAACTATTGAAGTTGAGCATCTAATCAGAACTGGATCAGATCATGCACCATTGCTAATGACATGTGGGGTGCAGACAACCAATTTTGTCAAGCCTTTCAGGTTCTTGAACTTTTGGACAAAGCATGCTACATTTATGGATGTGGTAAGGAAGAATTGGGAAGCTGATTTCATAGGGGATCCATTTTTGATGATCAAGCAGAATATCAAGAGGGTGAAGGCAGCACTTTCAAAATGGAGTAGGGAAACATTTGGTGATATCTTCAAGCAATTGGCTATTTTGGAGGACATTGTTAAGGTGAAGGAGATGTTGTTTGAAGAAGAGCCTACAACTGAGAATAGGATTGTGCTTCAAAATGCTTAATCTGAATTGAAGAAATACTTGAGTATTGAGGAGCAGTATTGGAAGCAAAAAGCTGGGATGACTTGGTTTGGTGAAGGAGATAGGAATACAAGTTTCTTTCACAATCATGTCAATGGCAAATGAAAGAAATTGCAACTGAAGAGGATCAAAAGTGGTTGTGGGGTATAGATTGAAGACCAGGAACAATTGGCTACAGTTGCAGTGGATTTCTATCAAAAACAGTTCACAAATGAAGGTGATGCTTCTGAATTTTCCTTGCTCAATAATGTACCTTCAATGGTCACTATGGATCAGAATTTGGAACTTAGCAGATTGCCAACAATTGAAGAAGTAAGGGTAGCAATTTTTGAGCTTAGTGGGGAGAGTGCTAGTGGTTCTGATGGATTCACTGGCCTATTTTATCAAACATGCTGGGATGTTATTGGTGCTAATATACACAACATGGTGCTACACTTCTATGGAGGAGCTGCATTGCCTAAATCCATCACTCACACCAATCTAGTGTTGCTGCCCAAGAAACCTAGAGTTGAGACCTTCTCTGACTTAAGACCTATTAGTTTGAGCAACTTCATTAACATGGTATTGTCTAGGGTGTTACATGACAGATTGGAGAGTTTTTTGCCATCTCTAATATCTCCTAATCAATCCAGATTTGTAAAGGGTAGGAGTATATTTGAGAACATCTTATTTACTCAAGAAATTATCACTGACATAAGGTTAAGGGGAAAGCCAGCTAATGTGGTGATCAAGCTTTATATGGCTAAGGCCTATGATAGGGTTTCATAGAAGTACTTACTGCATATGCTAAGGAAGATGGGATTTTATGAGCACTTCATCAACATGGTATGGAACTTGATATCAAATAATTGGTATTCAGTATTGGTGAATGGGCAGTCCTCAGGGTTCTTTAAGTCTACAAGGGGTGTGAAACAAGGGGATCCCCTATCTCCAGCATTGTTCACTCTGTCAGCTGAGGTACTTTCCAGGTCTTTGAATAAGCTCTTTGAAGACAAGTCATTTGTGGGATTTGGAATGCCTAAGTGGTCTGATCCTTTAAACCACTTGGCATATGCTGATGATACGATAATCTTTGCATCTGCTCATCCTCCCTCTTTGAGCAAGATTATGGCAGTGTTGGGGAACTATGAGAAGATATCAGGTCAGATGATCAACAAAGATAAGAGTTCATACTACATGCATTCAAAGGTTGCTAATGGATTATTTCAGGCAGTTGGAGCTATTACAGGATTTGCAAGAGGTAAATTCCCCTTCACATATCTAGGGTGTCCTATTTTTTACACTAGAAGGAGGAAGGACTATTATGAGGATCTTATCAAGAAGGTGAAGGCTAAATTGCATTCATGGAAAGGAGAGCTGCTGTCATTTGGAGGAAAGGCAACACTCATCTCTAGTGTGTTGCAAAGTATACCAGTTCACATGTTATCAGTCCTTGATCCACCAAACAACATCCTACAGCATCTACATAAGACTTTTGCTAGGTTCTTTTGGAGCACAAAGGAAGAAGAGAGAAGCAGACACTGGGCTTTATGGCAAAATCTTTGCCTCCCTAAAGAGGAAGGGGGCCTAGTTTTTAGTTCCTTACATGATGTCTCAAGGGCAATGTTTGCTAAACTATGGTGGAGGTTTAGGACCACAAAATATTTGTGGTCTAATTTCATGTGGAATAAGTATTGCAAAAAGGAGCTACCAACAGTGGTGCATTTTAGGGGAGGGTCTCATGTTTGGAGACAAATGCTGAATGCTAGGGAAGAAGTAGAACATGCGATCGTATGGGAATTAAAGAGTGGAACCACTAATATTTGGCATGAAAATTGGACTGGATTGGGTGCACTTTATCACATATTACCTGAAGACTTTCCAATCAATGAAGATCTTCAGGAGGTGGTAGAACTGCGGCAAGGGGAAGCATGGGATGATCAGCTGTTAGATCAAACTTTCAATGAATAAATTGCAGAACATATAAGGCTAAATGTGCATTATGAAGGCAGTGAGGGATATTGGGATAGGCCATACTGGATGCCAACTCCTTCAGGCAAGTTCAGTGTTAGCAGTGCTTGGCAAATATTAAGGCATAAGGCTGATCCTAATCAGGAATTCAAGTTAATGTGGATTAAAGGTTTGTCATTCAAGATATCCTTCTTCTTGTGGAGATTGTGGAGGCAGAAAATAGCCACTGATGACATATGGAGGAGGCAAAGGCAAATGGTTATGTTTAGGTGTTGGTGTTGTCAGTAGCCCCAAGAGGAATCCATTGAGCATATATTTGTCACAAGTCCTATTGCCTCTAAGGTACAGAACTTGTTCATGGGGGCTGCTGGAATTGCTGTGCAATTGATTCAATTGAAGCAGATTATAAGGCATTGGTGGTATGCTTAGTGTTGTCCAAAATTAAAGCCACTATTTCAAGCAGTACCAGCTATCATCACTTGGGAGCTTTGAAAGAGAAGAAATGCAGGTAAACATGGGGGTTCAGTGTCCACAAATAGAGTGATTCATGAGATAAATAGGACATTGTATCAACTGGCAAGGGTGAGGTATGCTTGGATGCCTAATATTCCATTATTATGGCCAGACACGATTCAATACTTTAAAGGATATAAACCTATATTGATCACTACAAGAGTAACATGGAAGCTTCTTTTTCATGGTTGGTACAAATATAATACTGATGGAGACTCAAAGGGCAATCCTGGACCTAGCTCCCTAGGCTTTTGTGTGAGGGATAATGAAGGTGATGTGGTGTATGCTAGGGAAGTAGACCTGGGAGTGACAACTAATGTGGTAGCTGAAGCTAAGGCTATTCTTCAAGGGTTGGAACGCTGTGTGGAGCATGATCTTCACCCTCTCATATTGGAGACTGATTCATTGGTGATGAAGAAGGTGATAGAAGGGGAATGGGATCCTCCTTGGGTAATTGCACAGGATGTGAAGAAAATTATAGAGATAAAGGACAACTTCAATGTGATCTTTCAAGATGTGTTCAGAGAAGGCAACTCAGTGGCGGATTTTATAGCTAACATTGTGTTCTCTTTTGCGGGTACATCTGAGTTTCATTCATTCTCTGAACTGCCTAGTGCAGGGAGGAGGTTGATCAATCTAGACAAATCTCAATCACCTAACCTTAGGGTTAGGATAGCAAAGAGAAGAACCCCAAACTGATGGCTTCACGGGATTGGACTCTACACAAACCTGCATGTTTCTTTGTCTCATTCAGTATGCTATTAAGCTACTTTCCAATGGTATTAACATGGTCCCACTCATTCTGGGGGTGCTTTGATAGTGTACAGAAAAATGAGATAAGCAGGTGTGGGATGGTACAATTTATCCTACTTCTGCTATGTCCAAATGCTAAGGAAAATGCTGAACCCATCATATGGTATTTCTGGAGATTGTTGAATCATTTTTTAGTGGTATTAGCATGCTTTCATGCTCAATCTGAGGATGGTTTAGCAATGTTTAGAATGACGTCTACATTAAAGGTTCTAGTAGGGAAGGATCCGAGCTTACAAGATCACAAAAAGGCATAGTTTCAAAGCCTGGCCTTTGCCTTGCAAAGCTTGCTTAAAGCCAGCTCATTCCTGGCTTTTGACTTGCAAAGTCGGCCTAAAGCCAGCTCATGCCTATCTTTTGCCTTGCAAAGCCTGGCTAAAGCCAGTTCATGCCTGGCTTTTGCCTTGCTAAGCCTGCCTAAAGCCAGCTCATGCCTATCTTTTGCCTTGCAAAGCCTGGCTAAAGCCAGTTCATGCCTGGCTTTTGCCTTGCTAAGCCTGCCTAAAGCCAGCTCACGCCTGGCTTTTGCCCTGCAAAGCCTGCTTAAAGCCAGCTCAACCCTGGCTTTTGCCTTGCAAAGCCTGCCTAAAGCCAGGCTCCTCTTCTACACATTAATTTTGATAAGTGAGCACATAATTAATACTTGGACAAAATTAGTCCACTGCATATGGAGATCATATAGTAGCTACACTTGGAAGACTATGCTGGCTTCAACTCTATGGTGGAGATGTTTGGAATTCGTTTTAGCCTATGGACAGTATACCCTGGCGCCTGGTGAGAGCTTGATAGGTGATGCTTGCTATTTTCCAATGACAATTGGATTCACATACACTGATAGGAGAAGGAAGCATTCAACTTATTATGTTGTAATAAGTAGTTCATTAGATTTTAGCTTTTCTATCTTTTTAATAGCTAGTAGCTTCATGCAACATCTATTTTGGTTTGGACATCTTGTAAACTTTGGACCCATTTTGGGATTTTATTTATATATTAGCCACTAGGCAAGTGCTGCCAAGTGGTATAATTGCTTAAAAAAAAAACCTAACAGAGGAACAAATATCAATGTACAGTTAAACATAGAAAGAGAAACAATAATAACGCTAGCAATGGAAAATGGAAACGGTAAGTAGCCACAAGAAGTAAACTAGTGATAATGCAACAAGTAATTAGAACACAGTTAAAGTGCCAGCGATGCCAATTAAGGAAACAAATGAAAACCAATTAATCAACAGTTCTATCACAAGGTTTACGCAAGAATCATTCCGATGCACCATACCTCATAATCACAATTCACGAGTCCCAGATCACGAAATCATAATCACATGGCACCTTGTGCCCACATTATCAATCACAACTGCACGGACAAACTCACGTGTTGTACGAACAACTCACATACCAATACCGATAATACCTCAGATCTGCATGGACAACTCACGTGCCAATATAAACAATATCTCATACACGCACAGACAACTCACGTGCCACCAGTCCAATCCACTCACAGAAAGCAGATATACAATAAAACTTGTAACTGATCAATATACATCAAGGTTCATACTCCTGGACTGATATAGGTGACATGTTACGGTATATGCTTGTGCAAGTGTACTATCACCGCTCAAGTCAACAGGGAAAATCATAGACACCGAGTAGCACATTGGAAACAACACAGCAAAACACACAACAAAACCCATAGTATGCATGACACACACAAGAAAGTCACACCACTACACAAATGTCATCGATAACAATGCCCCCAGGCCATCACAAATCATCCCTGACATAGCCCACCTTTTCTCGCTGCGTGCGTAACAGTAAAGTAAATGCTCGCCTTGTCTCGCCACACGCGCATCAATAATTATCCCACCTTGTCTCACTACATGCGCAAACCCAACATATATAGCCCACCTTGTCTCGCCGTATGTGCAAATATCAATAGCACGGGCAATTCACGTGAAACACCCAGAAAATCCTCTCAACAATTCCACATGTGCCAAAACACAACAACATAACATAACCACTCGGACCACACCTACCCATATGCCACAACACTTCCATAATAACAATATCAATACCACAACAATACATAGCCTACGACTCAACATCACTAAGTACAACAGCAACAACAATAACACGGGAGTACAATAAGTAGATCAACGCAAGAATTACTAAATGTAATGAAAATGGAGAATAAACTCAACAATGAAAGAGATAACATATAATAATTAGAGAGATAACATGTAATAATGACTTTAAATAAGGATAAATCAACAATAAAAGGGGTAGCATGAAATGAACTTCAATTAAGAATAACTCAACAAATCAAGAGGTAGCATGACAATAAAAAAGGCAACAACTTCAATTAAAGCATATATGAGTAGACTTAACAACGAAGAGTATAACATGATATGACAACTTCGATTAGATGCATGCGAGAAGCCTAAGAGTCTAAACCGGTCAATTTTCACATATAAGGCCGTATACACACTCGTCACCTCATGTACACGTATTTCACATAATCAAATAGTAAAATCAAACCCAATCCTAAAGGGGAGTTCCCCCACAGGAAGTTAGGCAAGATACTTACCTCAACTAGGCTAAATCAACACTTAAAAATATCTTTTCCTTTACACTTCACCTCTGCTCGGCTTAAAACTAACCAAAAGCGACTTAATAACATCAAATAATGCAAGAGAAATCAATTCCAATAAGTAAAGCTAGGATCTTTGTACAATTCCTCAAAAGTCAACTCCGGGCTCGCCCGATCAAAACCCAGGTCCAAGGGTAGATCTTGACTACCCATAACCCCACGAGTCTATATATGTATTTTGTTTCAAAATTCGAGTCCAATTCGACTTTCAAATTCCAAAATTTCATTTTTCAAAGCACAAACAAAACTTCCCAAAATTTCACTTTGATTCTCAAATTTTTGATGTTAAATGTCATATATAATCATGTAATATAGTTAGAAATTGATCAATATCACTTACCCAATGATTGTAGATGAAAATCCTCTCTCCAAACTGCCTCCTACCGAGTCTAGGGTTCAAAATAAGAGAAATGCGGTGAATTCCCGACTTTCAGCCCTTATGTTGAGGCGCATGTGTCGCAAATGCAACCAGCGATTCGCAAATGCGAACCCCGCAAATGTGAAGAATGATTGCAAAAGCGACATCCATCACAGTCCTGCTAACGTTGCAAGTGTGACAATTTATCGCAAATGCGAACACTGAACAATTCACAAAAGCGACCTAATGATCCCAAATGCGATCAAGCCTAGCCCAGACCCCCATCTCAAAAGTGAACAATGTGTTTGCAAATGCTATCCTGACAAACCCTAGTGAACTTCGCAAATGCGACTCCCACACGCAAATGCGGAGGTTACAAATGTGAAAGTTGCAAATGCAAACAAAATCTCGCATTTGCGAGACATGCAACACCTGTTCAAACACTAGCAAAATTGAACTCTTCCAAACACTCCTAAACGCGTCCGAAACTCATCCGAGCCCTCGGGGCTCCGTATCAAACATCCACACAAGTATAAAAATATTATACAAAATCGCCCGCACAATCAAAACACCAAAATAACATCTAGAACCGCGAATCAGACATCAAAATGCATGAAATTTACATTGAAACTCAAAACTTCTAAAAAACCACTACCACACGTCTGATTCCTATCAAATCAACTCGGAATGACACCAAACTTTGCAGAAAAAGTTCCAAATAACAAAAAGGACCTATTTCAAGTCCCAAAATTAAAATTATAACCCGATAGACTTAACGTCAAACCATAGTCAAACCTAAGGAATTTCTAAACCTTCATTTGCCAACTTTCGGCGAAAAAATCAAATCAACCTAGGAACCTCCGAATTGAATTCCGGGCATACGTCCAAGTCCAAAATCACTGTGCAAACCTACCGTAGCCATCAAAATACCATTCCGTAGTCATTTTCACAAAAGTCAAACCTCAGTTAACATTTCTAACTTAAGCTTTTAAAATGAGAATCACTTATCCAAATCAATCCCAAAACATCCAAAAATCGAATCCGACCATACACACAAGTCATAATACACAATATAAACCCATTCAAACCCTTGAACCACTAAACAGAATGCTAAAGCTCTAAATGACCGGGCGGGTCGTTACATTCTCCACCTCTTAAACAAATGTTCGCCCTCAAACGTGCCGAGAGTCTTTCCAAAATCATCAAATTGCTGTATAAACTCACCTTACACATACACACGGGTGATCCCACACCACCCAAATCCACATAAGTACGGAAATATCACCTCAACCGAAGATTATTCCTTTCACTCATGCCGACAAGCCTTAGAATCAAATTTCCACACCCACCCAGGGCCCTATTCTCACATAAACACACTAAAATCCTCAACTAGCTGCAACAGCTCATGCATACATCTACAAGGTATAACCATGCGATGCACCACATCGGTCATTTTGCCATAGCAATAACTTTGACCACAATAGCTGCCCATTACCAAATCCGGTATCGGTAAATAGTTCCATATCGACTAAAACCTTGTTCCAGACCTTCCCAATACTGATAATGATGCAAGAAACATGTGAAACTCATAACTACTCACCCGACCAACAAGCCACATCAGATACCACCTGGGCATATACATCGCAATCCAAACCTAACAAGCACACGTCGAATACAACCAAACATGGAAAGAGAAACATATGAGAGAAGTAACCAACAAGTCCAGCAGGTACAACTCCCCATTGTTACCAGACTACAAGTCCATCCCATAAGGAATAAGAAAAACACACACAATAACCATAACGAATCTCATCCTAACATAACCCCACCGCGGCACGTAGCCTGATCCGAACATACCTATCCACAAGGAACACAAGGTTCCCATCCTCAACTAGGAATCACAAGCAAGATAAACATCCCGACAACTTAAAACCTTCTACTAACTCGATCCCGTAGAGCAAAAGCACGATACGTAACAGACATTTCCATACTTGTAGATCATCCAAATCACAACTCTGGGCCAAACCATCCAGAAATCACATCGGAACCTACTGTATTAACTATTAGAAAGTCCACCCAAGCCTCATGACCCTCAAAAGCGACCATACCAAAATGATATACACGGGCTATCATAATAGAATCCCCTAAACTGGTGTGAACACATAAACAAAGTATAAGAATCACGAAACACAACCATATATGAAGCAAGGTAGGATGAATCTTACCAATAAATGAGACCATAATGAAATAGTGCCAATGCATCTCCAAACCAACCGAAATCATACCT